CCGGATCAACTTGTTGTCCTCCTTGAGACCCTCCTCCTTGAGATGATCCAGCTCCAGCGTCAGACATGATCACAACTACAACATAAACATAAACAAACATAGCATGAGAAGAAGCTATTGAAAATAAACAAGATCGTAAACTCGCATTAAAAAACTGGCTTAAGAACTAAGAAGTAAGACAAGACACGAGCATATATAAAAAGTAAGAAAAATAAACGATCATATATAATATAACAAGACACGATCATATTTAAGAATTAAGAAGTAAGACTAAGAACAAGACACGATCATATTTAACAAGACACAATCATATATGAGAAGTAAGAACTAAGAAAAAGCTATTGATTTAAGAACTAAGAAGTAAGGAAACGATACTGGTTAGTAATGCTATTGCCGTGTGTTTGTGTGTTGAGAAGAGAAGGTGATGATTTTAACTTAATGTTAGGAGGGTTCTTATATAGGGGAGTAAGTAGGGTTAGTGGGATTGTGGAAATCCTCCTCTACACGTCTAATACGTGAAAAGAGTATATACTTTTAGATATACTAAATATTCTTCTTTAACGGTTTTGTTACTTTCACAAATTTGAAGAAAATCCACTTTTCTTTATAGGTACAACAAAGCGCCGTTTTTTCGCTTTAGAAAGATATCAAAAGCGATGGAAAGCGAGGGAAAGTGAGGGATCTATGTACCTTGCTTCGCTATGGGGTCCGTAAGCGATGAGGTCCTCGCTTTGTGTCGCTTAGCGCCTTGGCGCTAAAAGCGCTCGCTTTCTCGAACCAAGAGTGACGGTGGTTGACTTCTGTGAATTAGCAAACTATTTACAGAATTACCCTAGAGTTCACCTCTTAGACCACAATATATGCCTTTGCTTTTGGTTTCAAGTAGTTGATTATGTTGTAGGTGCTTTCCACGCTTCACGTGACCTTCGTAACCGGTTATGACAACCATGTCGTTCAACGGATTGTGTCAGCGAGGATAAAACTTGAACAGAATAATCGGGTTAGAAACATAGTATTTTACCTGCTATAGACCTATTGGGAAACCACCTTGATGTATTTCTTCTTCCAAGATCAGGAACAACATCATTGAAGAACAGATCTGCTGGTTGATTTCACCATTTTTGTGTCATTGTTTGCTCTGAGAATTTGGGTTTCATTGATTTGAGGTCTTTAACCTCTGAGCAACAATCACCTGGATACGTGTTTGGGGATATTGTAAATTTTGCAGGACTGCGTGAACACTGATTCTTCTGATTGGTGTCTTCTAATGAGACAGTATCAGCTGTGATAACGCCTTTTCCTTTCCCTTGTAGCTGAGTAGACCCCTGCGACTGTAGAAGCTTCACATAGGATGTATGATGCTCTGCTTCTGAATTGATCTCAGAGCTTTATCCTGCTCTCTCTGTCTTTTGGAGTATCAGAAACCAACGAGTTCTGACATGTAAGTACAAAATCTTCAGATGGAAACAGTTCTTGGACAATGAACGTCTGAACTGTCTTGTTGACTACCACGCTTGAGCCACTTCTGTCTGAATCCACCTGCGCCTTTGAATCAGTGGTTTTCACAACAAATACTTGAAAATATGATGAGAAGAATAAAAACAGAGAACCTTTGCAAGAACACCCTCGACTGGTCTTCTCTTCCCAACAATCAAAACAAAGAGATGAAATTGAGAGAGTGCCTAAAAACAAAGATTTTTTTGAAACTATAAGAATCTTAACCCTAATCAAGCGCTTGAGGATGGTTCCACAATCGATACACTTGTCTTTGTTCTCAGCCATGGTTTTACCGCACTTCAAGCATAGCATCATGTGCCTGCATGAGCTTCAGTAGAGATCGGACTGCGATCCACAGCCCATACACGCCGGCTTCAGAACCAAACAATGCAACATAATGATCCCTTTCTGTAACATAGAAAAACGGAAATTAGGGGTTCCCAATTTCAAAATCGGAAAGATCACACAAGGAATCGGAGATTCAATCGTACGATTTCTGTGTTCAAGTTCAAATCAAATATGTTATTACCTTCGGATTCGAGATTGCGATTAGAATCTGTTTTTGCGTTTCAGAGAAAATAGGCGAAGAAGAAGGCGATCGAGAACGTTTCTGGTTTGAAGGAGAGGATGCCAACTAAGCCCAAAACATAGAGAAAGGAAGCCCAAAACATAACAAAAGAAGATGACGTGGGCGATTCATATAATATTACTGGTCGATTATTCTATCCGACGTGGCATACTTGAGAGTCCTTTATTTGCTGCTTTTAATAGTGTGTGATGATAATAGTCACACCATAAATGCTAAAATAAACATATTTGATGTTTTATTTAACAGTATATTTGATATTTAGCTGACTATCAATAATACATATGGATTGGTGTCGTGTAGTTTTAATGTTTTTAATTGTGTTGTTTTTAATTTGCCTTAAACAAGATAAATAATATTGAGAGTTCACAGATCTATATGTTTTAATTAACTACAACTATTATTATTTTGAAAATAATTAAAAATATTAATATATTTTTAAAAACACCATATTTATTGAAATAGAAATATCAATCAAAATTTATGTAAGAAACATATTATTATTACTAAAATTATTAAGAAAATGAAACCATGTCGAACTCTTCGGATTCTTAGGAGAAGATCACGCAAAGGAGATAATATGAACAATAATGACAAGAAGTAGCCGTTCTTGTCCGTCGTAGTCTCAGCGACTATGTTCTTCTTGCTCTTACACAGTAGTCTCACAACAGCACCTAAAGAATTTAGCAAAAAATTTAATATCGTTAGATTTGTTTTTCGACTAATGTAAATAGTTAGATACTACTTTTTAACTATTTTCTTTGGGCTTCACGTAATTTTGGGACTGACAATAAAAACAGTGACTGATGAGTGCAGAAGTAAATACTTTCGAAATAATATTACAGTTTTCGTACCAATGGTCCTACTTATAATGTGTTGAAATTTGAATTATTTGTCGAAGTTTGCATCATCATTTGATATCAAGTACGTATTGTCTTACACCGATATACGATTAATTTTAGTGTTTTAATTATGTGAAAAATTATTAATAATTAACAAAAAAAACTCTAACCTTCAACGGGTTTGGCGCCAGTGAGTGAATCGGAAGAAGCGTATTGGCAGCTTTTGCAGAAGACCGTACCCTGAACGGCGACTAGGCTTCTGTTGAATTTTGGCGGGTAAACCGGTGGCTTACCTGGAGGGGAGACCGGTGGCTTGGCTGGAGGGGAGACCGGAGGCTTAACCGGAGCTTTGGTCGGGGGCTTAACAGGGGCTTTGGTCGGAGGGTAAACTGGGGGATTAACTGGAGGTTTAGCCGATGGTGAAACTGGAGGCTTAACCGGAGGTTTGACTGGGGGCTTAACTGGAGCTTTGGTAGGAGGGTAAACCGGAGGTTTAACTAGAGGTTTGGCTGGTGGAGAAATTGGAGACTTAACCGGAGGTTTGACTGGGGGATTAACTGGAGCTTTGGTAGGAGGGTAAACCGGAGGTTTTACTGGAGATTTGGCTGGTGGAGCAACTGGTGGCTTAACCGGAGGACATGTTGAAATTTTATAAAACGAATTCTCCTATTTTATAGGTTGTCCCCCATTTGTTGTGATCGACATCCGAAACCATGTCGAACTCTTCGGATTCTTCATATCAATGATATAAATCATGGAAGGTCTCAAGGAGACTGCATCGTCAAAAACACTCACAACCAAGCATCTTTATCAACTTCACTTAGAAATTTCGAGAACGGCTTCCCTCGATGCTATTGTGCCGCAGACCGCCTTCGATGCTCTCCAGCTAGGTAGATCTACCCAGTTCGTTGTCTGCAGGCTTCTGCGTTTTTGGGAGTCTAAAAACATCAAGAACAAGGTGAATTTATGGACATCACGCTACTTCTCATTGATGAAAAGGTATTGAAACGATTATGGTCTTATATGACTGTTTTATTATTTAGAAATAAGCGATGCTTTCAGCTCTTAAATTTTTATGCAGGATTTTGTGATTCATGGATTCATCCTTGGTGGTCGCGCTGCTTATTACCGGCCATCTTTATGCGAGGGTTCAGTGATGAAGGTTTCACGATTTGAAGTTGCGAGATGTACGACCATCCATTTGTGGTCCTGTTTCTTCCCCAGACAACCATGATCTCTTATTAACCCCAGTGACACATAGAGTCTATAATGCCATCATTAACAACACCTTCCCAATCCTCATGATCTCTCATTCAATGCTTCTCCCATTACTTCAACAGATTGAAACTGAGAAAATAAATATGTAAGTCTTAATCCCCTGTAAATCATCACTTCAATGCTTTGACTATCAAGGCTTCTGCATTTTTGGGAAGCACATAATGTGAATAAGGGTGGTGATCTCATGGCTGTTTAGTTTATATTGCTTTGGTGGATGAGAAGGTATATTTTTCTTAACCAGCATAAACTCTGAAGTTAAAAGTTGTCTCAAGATTTCATTTTCTGTGCCAATCATATATACGTTTTCTTACAAAACTTTACAAGAACAAAGAGAAAGAAAATATGCAAAAAGCCTGAGAAAGTACAGGCTATTGACTCTTTCGGATTGAGAAACTTGATGTTGTACACAAAAAATAGAGATTATTTCTATTAACTCGATTCCCTGTTTCTATTAGGTTCACGGAGAAGACCAGTTTTGTTGAGGCTGCAGAGAGCATTGACCATATTCCTACGTTGATTCTCTCATTGTAGTTTCAACATGGTCAACTATAAGACAAGAAAAACAAGAGCAAAAGTGACTCCTCATTGGTCTGTTCTTTGAATCTTTTTCACTTAAGATTTCACAAGCACACATCAGGTATTTCATATTTAAGTATTTCATCTCCTTTAAAACAGATATATTTGTCTTCAAGCTTTCATTTCCGTATGATCTCTGACTATACATTGTCCTACGCTTCTGGTCTTCTTAAACCTTTGTTATTAACCATTATCTGTTTTTTTTCTAATCTCTATGGATGTGGGAACCGAAATTGACCCCTGTCGATTTTACGTAAATTTAGGAACTTAGGGAAAACCCTAATTTTCCAGAGGACCCGGCTATCAGCGGAACCGCACACAAGCAATCAAGAACACGATGAGAATAAATTGAATATGTAAAAAAACAAGATTGAGAGCAAGAAGGAGTCTTATTCCGAATTCACGTAAGAACGGTACAACAAGAGTAAGCCTTAGCTGCGTGGCCGTCGGCGAGATTGAAAGGTGTAGTATCCAAAGGAATCTTGTAAGCTGTCCTATAAGCCCAAAGTGCGTCATCAAGCTTATTAGACCAGTCTTTTCTTGTAACCCCCCCACAATCTTCTCCAAAATGGACTTGATTTCTCTGTTGGAAACCTCAACTTGACCACTAGTCTGGGGATGGTAAGGAGTTGCCACTTTATGCTTCACACCATTCTTCTTGAGAAGTGCTTCTAGTAGCGTGTTGATGAAGTGAGCACCTCCATTACTGATCACAATCCTTGGAACGCCAAACCTTGGAAAGATAGTGCTTTTGAACATCTTGATCACAACCTTAGCATCATTGGTGGGGCTTGCAACAGCTTCCACCCATTTGGAGACATAGTCAACAGCTACTAGGATGTACTTGTTCCCATAAGAAGATGGGAAAGGTCACATGAAGTCAATACCCCACACATCAAACACTTCAACTTCAAGGATGGGGTTTTGAGGCATCTCATTCCTCTTGGTAATGTTTCCTCTTCTTTGGCATGAATCACACCTTGAAACAAAGTCTTGTGTGTCTTTGAACATATGTGGCCACCAGAATCCAGCTTATAACACCTTTGCAACAATTTTAAAGGTAGAAAAGTGGCCTCCATAAGATGATCCATGACAATGTGTAAGGATCCCATCAACCTCTTCATTGGCAACCACTATCCTATAAATTTGATCCTTGTAGAGAATGTAGAGGTATGGCTCATCCCAATAGTATGTCTGCACATCTTTGTAGAACTTCTTCTTGGTATGACCCACAAGATCCAAAGGCTTTTTTCCTGTGGCTAAGTAGTTCACCAAATCAGCATACCAAGGTTCTTTTTCTTCTGTAGCCTTGACTTCTTCAAGCTTCCTACCAGTCTCACAAACTGCCATCACTGTCCCAATAGCCATGATCTGCTCTTCAGGAAGCCCTTCATCAATGGGGGCACCACACTCTACTTTCAGCCTGGATAGATGATCAGCTACACCATTCTCAACTCCTGGCTTGTCCTTGATCTCCAAATCAAACTCTTGTAGCAAAAGGATCCGTCTCAAAAGCCTGGGTTTTGCATCTTTCTTTGCCATAAGATGTCTCAAGGAAGCATGGTCGGTGTAGAAAATGACTTTAGATCCCACTAGGTAACTTCTGAACTTCTCAAAGGCAAAGACAATGGCTATCATTTTCCTTCTTAGTAGTTGCATACTTCATCTGCGCATCATTCAAAGTTTGGCTTGCATAGTAGATGACATGAGTTTTGCCATCTTTCTCCTGCCCCAAAACAGCTCCCACAGCATAATCACTAGCATCACACATGATCTCAAATGGGAGATCCCAATCATGTGGTTGGACAATGGGGGCACTCACAAGTTCACACTTCAGCTTCTAGACATTCTTCACCAAAGATAAAGGCTTCTTCCTTGCACAACAACCTGGTAAGTGGCCTGGCGATCTTAGAGAAGTCTTTGATGAATCTCCTGTAGAAACCAGCATGCCCCAAGAAACTCCTGATGTCTTTCACTGTCTTTGGAGGATCCAACCCCACCATCACATCAATCTTAGCCTTGTCTACCTCGATCCCTTTCTCTGAAATCTTGTGTCCCAGCACAATCCCTTTTTTTACCATGAAATGACACTTCTCCCAATTCAGCACAAGATTGGTGTCTTCACATCTCTGTAGGACCCTAAAAAAATTTAATAAACAAGCAGAAAACGAAGATCCATAGACAGAGAAGTCATCCATGAACACCTCCACTACATCCTCAATTAGATCAGAAAAGATTGACATCATGCACCTCTGAAAGGTGGCTGGAGCATTACATAGCCCAAATGGCATCCTTCGATAAGCAAAGGTACCAGAATGTCGTCTTTTCTTGATCATTGGGATGTATGGGTATCTGGAAGAATCCTGAATATCCATCAAGAAAGCAATAGAAAGGGTGATTTGCAAGTTTCTCAAGCATCTGATCAATAAATAGCAGTGGAAAATGATATTTTCTAGATGCAGAGTTCAATTTTCTGTAGTCAATACACATTCTATGCCAAGTGATAGTTCTTGTTGGAATCAGTTCATCCTTGTCATTTTTAATCACAGTGATACCACCTTTCTTTGGAACTACATGCACATGAGATACCCATTTAGAATCGGAGATGGGGTAAATCACACCAGCATCTAGAAGTTTAAGAATCTCTTTCCTAACAACATCCTTCAGGTTAGGATTTAACCTTCTTTGATGCTCTACAGAAGTCATTGATTCATCTTCAAGATGTATCCTATGCAAGCATAAAGAGGGTGATATCCCTTTAATGTCATCAAGTGAGTATCCTATTGCCTTTCTAAACCCTTTAAGTGCTGTTAAAAGTTCAGATATTTCATTTTCATTCAGCTCACTACTCACAATGACAGGATATGTCTCATTGGTTCCAAGAAATGCGTACCTTCCACTATGGGGGAGGGGTTTAAGCTCCACCTTGGGTGCTTTGAGCTCACTCCAGTCATCTTTCTGAACTTCTTCATGTTGGGTGACTGAGGCTACATACAACTGAGGGATTGACGACGTATTTAAAAATCAGTAACTCAGTGATCCTGTTTGTCTATCCCTTCTACCGATCTCATTTATGCATAAAATAAAGGTGTAGGCTTTACCTTGGGAGTATCGATCAAGGAACACTTGGATTCAACTCAAGCTAGTTTTAGGCATTCTCATTCTGGTTCCTTTTCTCTCTTTATCTCCCTTCTCTGAATCCCAAATTTTCTTTTTCTTTATATATCAATCCCAATGAACAATTAATGTTCATCTTATTGATCTTTCTTCTCTTTTTTTTTTCTTTTTTTTTGACAAAGTGTAGGCGAATAGTGGGGTCATGGGTAATGTACCTCTCCCTCGCTTCCACAATGTGTGATCATTCCTTTGAATTAGAATAGTGGGGTCATAGGTAATGTACCTCTCCCTCTGCCTCTCAGGAAATCATCTCAATCTTTATTTTTCTTTTTGGATGCCAAAGGGAGGAGAGAAAGAAACCAAAATTGTTGAGACTTTTACCTTCCAGATTTGCAAGAGGATTCCGATCCCTTGTATGCCAAGCCCCAAGACAAGTGATAAATTTCAGGTTAGATTGGAAAACGGCTTTGGTTCTTCCATTCATTTTCAACAAGTGTTGTCATAGCTAATCGGTGCTCTGCTTTAGCATCTTTAGTATCTTTTGTAAAATCTAAGAGTGGTGCTTAAGAAGTGGTTAGGTGACAAGTATGAATCTATATGATCATTGCTTCCTTTTTAGTAAAATATCTTTCTCTTTATATATATATATATATATATATATATATATATATATATATTTTTTTTTTTTGAAGTAAAAATGATAGTAATGAAATGAACATGATAACAAATGAAGGTGTTAGTAGATACCCCCCAGACTTAAACAACACTGTCGCTAGTGTTATTTAGTCTAGGATGAAAAAAAAAAAAAATTGAATGTAGCAAAAATATTCATGTTAGTAGAAAAAATTGTACCTCTGCCCTTACATATCGATCGATATGTCTGTTAAGAAATCGATCGATATATGGTTAGCTGTATCGGTCGACATAATATGGCGTACATCGATCGATATAGGGTGCCTTAGCCTATTGTGTAGTTAGTCTATCAAACTCACCATTGATGGGTTATGTAACCCTATGTTAGCTCTGTTAGACATACTCAACACACACAAATAGTTAGATAAAAGATAGTAGCAGGCTAGTTATAGAAAGTACAAATAAAAATCCTACAAGTCTGGAAATAAAAGTGAAAACATAATAGTACGAGATAAGGGATAGAAAGGAGCAAGTGAATCAGTCGTCACTGCTCTCGTCGTCGCCCTCGTCATCCTGGCGGTACTGGTGGGATGGACCTGTCGCCGATGGGTCAATGGCTGAAGTGCTCGC